AGAGAGAGAGAGAGAGAGAGAGAGAGAGAGAGAGAGAGAGAGAGAGAGAGACAGAGAAAAAGGGGAGCGGGGAAGGGAGAGAAAGAAAGACAGACAGACAGACAGACAGAAAGAGAGACAGACAGTAAGAAGAAAAGACAGAAAGAAAGACAGAAAGAAAGACAGAACAAAAGAAATGGGAGAGGTCGGTAAGCCATCAGGTGACTGATGCCCCGCACCTCCGACTCCATCACTAAAATCCAGAGCTATAAAGGCACCGCGTAGCACCACTCGTGAACGCATCAAAACCTTGTCTTACAAGCACGGGTGACAAAGGAGGTATCAAGATACAGTCTTGACTTCAAGTGCGCAGGTTTTATACGTCGTATGAGACAAATAAAAGAGGCGCACAGACAGATTATTATAACGTTACTTAGTAAAAAAGCAATATTGTGGATTTTAAAGGAGTAAAGAGAAACGTATAATTATATCGACTCAATAACGTTCTTAGAGAGTTAGGGAAAAGACGAGCTTTTAATTATCTATTCCCGGTCAGTTTTCCATGTAAAAACACGAGCTTTGTAAAATACGTGGGCGTTATAAGACCTCAAAACTGAGGGTGTCTCCGTTTTGGTTGTAACAACAACAACAGCAACAACATCAACAACAACAGCAACAACATCAACAACAACAGCAACAACAAGATAACGACAACAACAAAAACAACCAAAGGAAGAAAATAGTTCAGTAGAGCCTGCCTGAGGCGCCCTCCAACCGCCCAACAGAGGACATCAAGACCTGGTCGATTCAGAGTAGATAACAGGAACCGTTGCTCGGAACAAACGGCGACGACGACGACAACAACAACAACAACAACAACAACAACAAACAGCTTCGCAGAGCCTGCCAGAGGCGCCCTCCAACCGCCCAACAGTGGACAACATATCACGAGCTGGTCTAACAAGCCCGGAGACTAAGTAGGTATCAGGAACCGTTACGAAGAACAAGCGGCCGGAGTCAGGACAGATCTACATGGCTCCCAGGCCCAGGTCTATGCGTTGTGTATCCGGCCGGTCATCCATCACAGGAGATTGGCCGTTACAAGATAGGGGGGGGGAG